ATTACTCTCCAAGCAAAGGTTGGTGGGGAAGATTGTTACCTTTCTGATATGGAGGTAGCGATAGAAAAAACGGGGCATATTGAGTTAACGATCTTCCCCACCAACTTCTGCTTGGAGAGTAACTGGAACTAGCAAGTAAGCAAAAGGACAAGGCTCTTTATTGTTGTTCGCCGGAGAAAGAAAACAGCACTCAGAACGGCACTTTCTATATAGAAGTCGCCGTTACTATGGAAACAGTTTGCCGAAGACTAGCACACTTTGTGGATGTATCAGTGATAGAGACTCTTGAGAAAAGCGAGAGCACGAAAAAAGAGGGAAAACGCAGCAGATGAATCTTTTTAAGAAGAAGCAAGTAGCATGGATACTACTACAGTACCCGGCATGTCCGGATTTTGGATCCCAGGATGGTGCCCAGGCTTGGAAACAAGTCTGGGACTCAAGTAACTCATGGACTGTTTCTATCTTTTAGAAGAATCATTGAAGAAGGATCATGAGAAGATCTGCTCTAAGATCTGCGATCAGCTACTAGTATCCCTGGCTCTCTTTTACCTCCATGCTTTATCTGACAGTGAGCGGAGAATACTGTCCGCAGCTCTTTAGCACATTTATTCTTGAGAACCGCCCTGCGAACAATTAGACCGTATTTGTTAAACTGCAAAGTAAACACCGCGTGTGAAATGATCTCTCTCGCCCGGCTAATCACTCCGATCTGTCATTGTCACTCGATCCGAGAACTGTCACCAGAGATTGTTAGCACAGGAAAAAAACTTCACTCTAACCAAGGAGGTTAAATACCTCCTTGCTCTAACTTTCTTTGTTTTTGGTTTTTACTCTCAAGTTTTAGTTTTTTTTTCTTTCATTGCTTAAGCTTTTCTGTTCAATTTCTAATAATCACCGTGTCGTCATTTTTAAGTAATTGTAGTACAATGTACTTTGAATCTGTGTCACAAAAGATTGTTAGCAGAAAAAAAAATGCACTCTAGATAGCTTACTTTATTTTTGGTTTTTACTCCCAAGTTTTAGCTTTTTTGTCTTTCATTGCTTTTAATTTCTGATCATTTTCTAGTAATCACAATGTCGTCATTTTTATGTATATACAGTGTATAATTGTAGTACGTGTACTTTGAATCTGTATCTTTTTTTAATTATTCTTTGCACAGACAAGAAGTGCTTATTACTGTAAAACAATTGATATTTTTAATGTGCTGTGCATGTATCTGTACACTTTTGCAATTAATTAATTCTACAAAGTTGATTTAGGGTATTTAGGGATTATTATAATACTAGTATCACCTCGCATCCACTCAAACTTGGAAGTTGCCATCGTGTAGATGTGACATTTTTCTTCCTTCAGACTTTTGCGTCAATTATCGGCTGAACTGTTGTCGTCTACTTGTCATCGGCTTAAGAAAACAAACGTAGTTTGGTTAAGACGCTCATTCCTTCGCGCAAAGAGGATTAAGAAGGTCTGTAGCAACTATCACTTGGCCGAGACGGTGAGAATACGTGACGGAAAATTCCACAGCGACGTAAGGATAACAGAATAACATCAAAGCTAGAAGCCCTCGGCTTCGCATCTTGCAAGAGTTTAAGATATAGGCGTCTTATATTTAACAATAAAAATTTTGGAAGCCTGTTGGTATCTTTTTCAACTGCCGGTAAATAGAAACAGTACTAGTTGTATTTGAATAATTCACTCCCGATTCTCCTCTCTGTATGGCTTCTTATTCAGTCTTTCTGTGGATAAATTTGCATTGATGAAATTCACTGTGGAATCTGTATTGGATAACGTTAAACTTAATCAATGTAATGTTTTTATGTAATTTCTCGATCATGGTATTTGTGTAGTTCAAATTTTACCAATCAATCTTGGAGTAAAAGAGACTTAAATCCTGACTCATTTGTGAAAACACGACAATAATTTCGACAGTCGAATCAGAAAGATGATATTTTCTCCTGGTTTCTTCTAACTCATGTCCACTTTTAGTGGACTCATAGTCCACTTAAAGACCACATTTTCAGATAGAACGTTCATATCTATGGCATATTTTAAAAACTTTAACAAGCACAGGGCACGTTAAGCTTGGTAGCAAAGTAAAGCAGACATTCCTATACCCTGGAAAGCATGGTTTGATAGTGATACTATAAGTACAATGTGTTATAGTAAAATCGTCGGTCCCACCAACTGTGCTTTGTTGCACAGAGAACAGTGTGTGTGCAAGTTATCTGAAACGCCGTCTTCTCAACAACAAAGGATTATTCTAAAAAAGGTGTGAGTGGACCGATCTCGATAAATAATAATGTAAATCAGTCAACAATCGAGCCGCGAACCGGAGAGAGAAAATTGAAGAACACCTTTGGCGAAAAACAATAGCGGCGTCCAATTTTGCTTTCGTGGCGGCGAATTCCAGCGGTCGCGGTGCCCTTTGTTTATTGTACCGTGAAAATTGCTTCTATTTTGTCAACTAAAACTCCACAATACGATTCCTACAACCATTTGTTTATGACTCAGTCCTTTTTCAGTCAAAAAGCTAACTGTCTGACGTAAACGTTTTTGACGACACAAAAGCAGATCAGACTAGACAGTTGAAATCAGTACTGTGTTGATGGTCCATTTTTGCGCACTGTTTTCTCCCAAGAGACTTAAAGCCTTTAATCTAAGAATAATAATTCGCTACTTTACAGTAATGATTCGTCTGGCCGGTTGTACCTGGATGACACACTAGCTCGTCTGAAGTCAGACGATCTTTGAACAGATAACGAAACACCTGCAAAGGGAGGGGAGCGATTGGGCCATGATTCATGAACAATGGGCATCGTAAAAACGTGTATAGTAGCATGCTTTCCTTCTTTCCTGAAGCAAACTGATACTATTTGCCTAACAATAAGCAATGTATCAGCATCTCACATTTTCTTAATACAAAGGAAACGCCAATCCTACCAAAAAAAGACCATACAAAACCAGCCTTCCTTAACTTGTACCAAGACCCAAGAGGTTGATGAGGGAGATCAGTTTAACACATTTTATGAAAAGAAGAAGAGCGCACAAAATTGACAAACTTTCATCAAGGGTTAATTTGTAGGTGAATCTTGAAAAACAAAACCAAAAGGTATCGTTCAATAGCCTTACTACCGATAGAAACAGAAGTGATATAATCTACCTAATATATCTGGGAAAAAGGCAAAATGTACTAATTAATTTTTTTACTGAAAATCAAAAGGCACGAGTCACCAAGATTTTAAGCCAACAGGAAATGTGTCTTTGTTAAAGGTATTTCCTGGATCCACCCCCGTATTTCGTCCTTTAATCTTGATGACGTAATCAATGTCATTCGTTGGTCAGTATTCTCGGAATTCAGACGACAGGATGAGCAACCGGACCGAACCAAATCCCCTGCTCCCATGGGGGGTGTGGGGTAATCAGCTAAGTGCCATCTGCGAACGGACATACTTCATAATCACCATACACGTACTTTTCCCCTCCCCATTTGTTACAATCAGTAGTTCTGTTCTAGCCTCTACAAGGCTTCGGAAAGCGGTTGAAAAGAGTAGAAATTTACCAAATACTCCTTGACAGATAACATGCCAGGTGAGTTGGTCTGCTACAGCTCGGAAGAGGCAAACTGTACTCTTTAGCGGACCAACTCTCTCTATCTGTCTACAAGTATTTGGCCGTTTCCCGAAGCCTGGTAGAGGCTATTTTGATTCGTTACTTCCCAGGAGACGTTCAAGTGACAGATAGATGGAAGGAATCGCGCCTCTTTCGCCTGAACGTGAGAAAAATTAGACAACATCAATCAACTCTGCAGTTTTAGACGTTGATGGATGAAAAAGACAACCCTAAGGACAGCTCTCTTGCCCATCTATTACCCTTTACTTACCTTACGGAACAATAAAATGAAGAAATTAATGCATTTAGATTATTAATTCTGTGACTAAATACTAGTAGTTTGAAGTTTCCATCGAACATATAAATGTACTTGTGTGATTTCGGTTAAAACCTTGATTCCCGGTCAAATTACAAAACACAGTCTTTTGAATTTTGGAATGTGAAGGATTTTCTTGAATCCTTTTGAATCCTTCCTTGAATCCTACATTTTTAAAGTAGCACAGTATTGAAGTATTAAAGGAGCAAAATCTTAACTTGGTTTGTCACTGACCAAACTGTCGCCCGAAACAGTATATCTGGTCAGATTCCGTTATCAACCTTTGTTATCGTCAGAACAACGCCGCTACCTCCTTATGCAAACTGTAATCTTGTTATACCACATGGGATTAGTAAGTCCCCCGTCTTTCAAAAAGGCTATAACATTTTGTTTTTCGTCAGTGACAAACAAAGAAAGGAAACGAAGTTTCAACGGAAGATTCTCACTCCTCAACACATTTATGACAATTGTTTTGATGAAAGAGAAGTGGTAGCAAGCCGACGAACGGTTTGAATACTACTGACAGTACTTGAAAATAGAGAAAAGACGACGGTGTCAACTTCTGTCTCCGACAGACGGCCGTACCGCGGATCGCTTACGCCGCCGCCTGGCCACCTGCCGGGGACAGAAGAGTGATTATCGCCCGGGTTCCCTCAGGGTTTGCCCAGAATTTACGCGTGCCATTTTCTCCTGCACAGACTCAATTAGACCCGTCCTTCCATCAGATTTTCACCTAAATGGTGACACAAAGAACAAATCCCAGCGGCCATGTTTTATAGGGCGTGTTTCAGTTGGAAGTTCATCATATTGAACTTCGTGTGAATAGAACTCGGTGTTTGTAAATTTTGAAAATTTTCTGAGACTAGTACTAGTGTCAGATGAAAAATCACTGTAGTCCTATAGTATGTAGCTGAAAGGGACAAAGAAATGATTTGGTAGCTATTAATAAAATCATATGCTTCTTTGAATCAAAAAATGTAGCGGATACTAGGTTTCCTTCTCTCCCTGTCTAGTTTCTAACACTTGACTACATATGATTCTTAGCCAGAACAACAAGACAAACACAGACCAAAGTTTCCTCAGGACAAGGTTGTTTATTCTTAGTCTCAGAGACGGTGTATAAAATATACCCCACACTACGTGTGGAATAGACCTTCTGTTTTATGATATGGTTACTAAAAAAACTGTCCCTCCAAAACATGGCACTCTCGGAAAAGTCGAGGCTCTCTCTTTTTTTGGCACAACTCTCTTCTTTTGAATCAGTAAATACAGCAGCAAACTCACAATATTACAAAAGCTTTTTTTGCATAGACTTATCCTTTTTGCAACAAACAATGCCCAACACAATCGTGGATGCAACATATCGTTTGGACTTCTTTTCTCAAGTATTTCGTAACTAGCTAGTCGTAGGATATCTACTTTCCTAAAGTCTACTTCTAGAAAAAGAAAGTACAAAAACATATCAGGATCACGTAAACACAAGTATGTGGACAACATAGATAAATCAATAGTGGTCAGAATGTGAGCAGCGAATGGTCTTGACTAGTTTCACAAAACGAAGAAAAGCTAGACTAGCACAACCGTACCCACAGATGTTGTGGGGAGTAGGGGATATGCATATTCAAACTATTGCACAATAGGACGTGGAATTGCACATGGAAACGTGTGACTATGTTTTCCGTAACAAAGGAATGTTTACATCTGTTTGGAATTTCGGGGATTTCTCATGGAAATGCACACTTTCTCGTGTTTTGGAAGGGGGATATCCAAAAAGGAATGTTTTCTGTGACAAAGAATTCCTTACAAACAAAACAGATTTCAGGTTGTTACGGTCAGGCACTTGTTTTTCTTACCAACTATCTGATAGTCAGACAACAACAACAAAAGTCGTTTGCCAAGTTGTCTACCAAACCTGGCAAAAGAAGCGAAGAATGGCAGATGTCTCAGATTAAGAAAAATAAGCCAATTTGTGGCGCCAGGGACACTGAGTTTGTTTTGGTTGCCATTCAAAATTTCCAAATTGGGTTTAATCAGTGGCGAAATTATTCCCTTTCTCTTTTTAGGGCGTAAACTGGTAAAACATTTCGTGACTGTTATGAACATTTTATCTGCTATACACCTTTCAAGTGAATACAATTGCGAATCTGAACCCTTGTCCGTAACACAAAGTATTGACAAAAACTAGAGAAGTGGCGTTGCCACACGTTTCCAACCATAAATTAAAACATAGCTGCCATTAGAATATCGATATCAACTAAGTACTACCCGACACCCAAAATGTACAAGGTAAAGTGCTCTGCAATACAATACTTAACTTTTGGCCTCAATTCTGAAATTAGAGGATCACAAAGTTTACGTCATTTCCCCAAGGAGGTTTACCTCCTTGATTTCACATACTAGTAACGAGGCGAAAGAAAACAATCTAGCCGTTACAAAATCTCTATTTTCCAGAGAAACAATATCCAGTTATTTGACTGTTAGAATGTACAGACGTCATAAAGAAAAACATATCAACAAAAAAGGTATACCACTGGGAAGGTGAAGAATGTACAAAAATAAAACATGGCTAGTGTTAGTTACATCTTGCGGCCAGCGTTGACAGTCCAGAACGTGGCGCGCACTCGAAATGGTACGAAAAATAGGAATGTTGCAGCCATTTGCAACCCTTTGCAATAGGCACAACCCTTTACAAAGTTGAAACAGCTTTTTGGCGACGCCTCAGGGGTGGCTCTCTTACTGTTACTGCGAGGAGATGGCAGCGGGACTGTGAGCAGGCATCATGGCGTGGTGGTGGTGATGACCGTTATGGGCCAGATGGTGCGGGATGGGCGAGGGCGCTCCTCGGTGGATGTCGATGTCGTCGCCGCCGCCGTTGTACATGCCGTGGCCGTTGGTCATCAGTCCGTTGCCGTTGACGTGGCCGTTGGCATGACCGTTGACGTGCCCGTTCATGTGGCCGTTCATCCCGTTGACGGCGTGGTACGGCGACATGCGCCGTTCCTTCTGACGGCGGTTGCAGAACCACACACGTACAACCTGTAGTTGATGAAAAATCGAATTGAAAGTGAGCGAGTGACTCAAATAATGTAATCATTATGCTGTCGTTTTAATGCAAATGAAATAATTGTCCTCAAATTTCGTCATTGACTGTGAAAGATTCAAAGAAGAAACCATCATCAACATTTGATTCAGATTCTTTTTATGAGGAACCAAACCATTGAGTCACATTTCCGCAGGGTCACGTGTTAGAAATGGTTTCTAGACGATTGAGTGGGTCGGTTTCCCAGAAGAAGATAAAAAAAAGTCATAGTATATTATCAAGAACTGTGGGTTTTCTTTGTGTTTGCTATAAAATAAGTGCTAAAACATTCAGAAACATATTTACCTCTTTGTCCAGGTTGAGTCCTTCGGAAAGTTGGCTAATCTCGACAGCAGACGGCTTGGGCTGTTTGTAGAAGAAAGTTTCCAAGGCACCTTTCACTGACACCTAGGAGACAGAAAACGAGTCTAGTATGAGTGTCTAGTGTCTACACAAACAACTGCTTTTTAGTTTAGCCATGATGAGTTTGGAAATGATACTAGTAGCTCCTAAAAACCCCATCTGAAAGAATCCACTAGACTCAGTAACTTAAGACTACTAAATTTATTCTTTGGTCGTTTCTTTCCTTTCTTCCATCCTAAAGCAAGTCATCTTAATGATGGCAATAGCTTGTACACGACAGTAACCAGTGACACAAATTGCCCTTTGACAGTTTTAGACCTATAATCAAGCAGCGATGACGCAAGTCGGACACGTTTTGGGACGTGAAAATGACGGGGTTGGACAGGAAATACCCGACATTAATCACATTAAACATCTGCACTGGAGCGTGCTTCCGGAAAATTGGCAGGAAACGGGAAAAAAGAAGCACAGAAGGTAAATACGGAAGAAAGATACTTTAGATTTTTTTAGTGATTTTAACCTTGCGCAGAAACTTTTGGCTTAGCAAGAAAGAGGACTTTGATCAAAAGTTAAAAATAAACCAGGAAAGAAATGGAAAATTGGAAGAAAAAAAAGAGAAAGGAAAAAAAATAATTTTGGCTTTTGTAACAAAAAACTCTGGACACAAAGGAAAAGGTAAAGCAACACACTTCTGTGTCCCTGTAGAAGAGTGAAACTGTGGATTATGCATGCATGTATGATATCCGAATCATCGTGGATTCACATGCATCGCCGCTTAAGTAGATCTTCATTAACTTCATCTCATACGCAAACGCCGCCTCTGTTTGTCCACATAATTATGGAAACTTCTATTATGAAAACAAACCAAACTCCAGAACACACGCTGGGGGAATCTTCTGACAGAGAAAGATATTTAGGTCATTTTTACAAAGAAAATTCAAGGAAAAGACATATAGTTCATATGAGACTACCGATCTGATCTGATCGAAAGACCGTGTACTTGACCGTTTTGCCCCAACGTTTTCCACATTTTTGGTACTCTCCTTGGTACTCTTTCACCACAGGATGGCCAAACTACTTTGAATAAACTAAACAAGCTATCTATCAAATGGACAGTTCCCAGTGAAGTGGAAGGCCAAAGTGCTTGTGATACAAATGTGTCTAATAATACCGCTAATCACACCAAACCTAGCTCTATCTTTTGCGTTTTTGATACTAGTAGCTTTCCAGAATTACTAAAAGCATTTTCTAACGGAATTGTAAAGCAAACGATGTTTTCTAGATCCAAGACTTGAGCAAACCCTATATGACGCCGAAACATGAGGTTTTCTTCAAAACCACTTGGTAACGGACCACCTTGGTTGAAAAACGCTTGGGCAGCACTCGTGAAGTGAGATCAAATAAGAACATGTTTGTTTACGTGTTTATGCCAATAGTGTTTACTACCGATGACGTTTTCGGAGGTTTTGGGTGCGGAGAATCGAAACGCCATGTGCATTTTTTGTCGGTGTTATTTGTTTGGAAATTCAAGGATAAACTTCTTGTGTCTGTTTTGACTAGAAAGAGCTACCGTTTCTCAGGTTCCGTTTCTCAAAATACATTTTTGCGCAGCGCAAGTTTCGTCTTTTAGGTTTGCGACACCTAGGAAAGGAATGGCGAGTTCAAAGCGCTGAATCGCATTGACTTGTGGTAGTTCGTCTTTTACTATAAACGACATACAAGAAAGATTACACTTACTTCGATACTCGTGCGTTTCTTGCGCTTTCTGCCTGGCGTGATGACCTCCCCTCCTAGTCCCTCGTCCTTGGGCAGGGAGCCGGGGCTCATGTTGGAGTCTGCCGTCTCCAGCCACTTCTGTAGCAGCGGTTTCAGCTTGCACATGTTCTTGAAGCTGAGCTGCAGGGCCTCGAACCGACAGATGGTCGTCTGACTGAGCACGTTTCCGTGGATCGTCCCCAGGGCTAGGCCGACGTCGGCCTGGGTGAAGCCGAGCTTGATTCTCCGCTGTTTGAAAACCATGGCGAATTGTTCGAGCTCGTCGGCGGTGGGGGACTCCTCTCCCTCCGCGGCCGGCTCCCTGTCGTCGTCCCCCTCCGTGCTCGTCGACCCGCCCGAGCCGGCGCTGCCGTTGCTCCGATGCTCAGAGCCGTTGGGGATCTGTACGAGAGGAGGCTGGGTGGCGGAGGTGAAGATGCCGTTGAGGCCGCCGTGGCCGTTGACCATGCCGGTGTAAGCGGCGTGCGGGAAGGCGAAGCCCGCCGGGGTCCCTGCCGTAGTTATCGGGGGGATGAAGCTGGACGGTACGGTGGTAGACAGCGAGCCGCCCGGAGGGGGAGGGTAGCCTCTGTGCAGACTAACCGGGTGGTTCTCCCCGTTTTCTCTGCCGTTGATCTTACCGTTGAGCTCCTGTGGGTGCAGGCCCGTGAACCAGGGCGGGGAGGGCGAAGTTTCTGACAGTCTAGCCCAGGACCCCGGGTACGGGAAGGTCGAGTGACCGTTTCCCAGACCATTCGTACCGCTCTGGCCGTTCAGCACGTTCAAGGAGTGACCGTTCTCCGAGGACTTGCCGATACCGTGGTCTCCGAAGCCGTTGTACGGGGGCTGGATGCTGAGGAGCCCCGTCCCGTTCTCCAGGTGCGGCGGCGAGTTGCTGGAGGACGGCGAAGACGAGCTCTGGCTGAACGGGCTCGGAGAAGTCGCCATGTTTTCCACTGGGTCCAAAACTCTGCAATTTACTTTCCCGTACAGTCTGTATTATGCTAAGAGAAACGCGCACGACCACAGGTGACAGAACGACCAAACATCTGATAACTCCAAAGCCCCACGGAAATTACGTTATTACCCCTCTCACATATCCGTGACGTCGAATAATAATTCGTCGTGATTGGAGGAGACTAATTTGAATTTGAATATAAGGAAGCGGCATAACTTCTGATGACCAGTAAGGCGAGTTCTGATTGGTCGCCGCCTAGGATATCGCACACTGTGCGCTGTTGTTTTAGCTATTGTTCTCCGGCGGTCGCGCCTGACAATGACAGAGCCTTCCGAGGATGCCACAGAAACAGCACATTGCCTGTTCTCATGAATATTCATAATCCTTTCCCAGCTCGCGATCTGTCTTGTTTTCACTCGCTTTCTTCTTTTAGAGAAAGTTGAGAAAAACTTTACTTTTGGCGCCCGCAACTCACACCACCGATCGAAGCGTGGCTGCCTTCAGCGGGACTGTATTACCAGTCCATACAGGAAATCTGAGGGATGAGTGTGGCGAGCTCGCAGACAATTGTTAACGAGTTTACCAACTTCACACCATGGGGAGAAAACGCCCTGTAGTTATTACACGGGTTGGCTGTGATCCATCAATTTCAAACTACCCAATACCCTATACACAAATCATATGCAGATAAGTCCTGAATATTCCGTTTTCTACATTTTCACTACGATGAACAAGAAGTTAAAATCTGGAACGGTCTGGAAAGTGATGTCTGTGCCTTGGGCGACTTTTGGGTGGCCATGTGTTCATTTGGCGGCCGTGCCACAGCGAGTGGTGTGACGGGTGCCTTTTGAAGCGGCTGGCTCTAGACACGAACATTTGCATCTGACTAGCACACCCCTGGTCTGATACAGCCGAAGGGAAGCTTCCAAAATCCACAATAGAAGTGTGTGAACTCCGTAGGACAAAAACAAAGCAGCGAAAATTAAACTGGCTTTTGTATCATTTTTGCTCAAAGAGTGGAACAGGATTTTTTAATCAAGGCGGCACAACTTTGTAGGTGCGGCGCAGGGCGCGACTCCACTCTACTTGTCTCCGGGCTGTTTTGCTGTTGTCTTCGACCCAAAACTCGGGAAAAGAAAACACAAACGCTAAAAACACAAAAGAAAAACCAAACCCTTTACACTGTATCTTTACAAGAAAATCTATCCTGGTTTGAAGAAGGAGGTTGAAGTTGAATCATTTTCTATGGCTTTGCAAAAAAGTTTCTTTCGTAGTGTTGCGCGTTACTTTTATTACAGCCTAGCTAGGCAAAGTGCGATCAAAAGTGAATGTTTTTTTTACGGAAGGGAAAACCAAGTCTACGTCCAAAAACGAGCCTGGCGCCAGAAAAGCTGGTCATAATCTCTAAAAACAAACAAATGCGGATCTTGGTAACTTATAATCTAGGATGACTGACGCATAACAACCAAACAACCCAACCTGTTCACAGTTGTAGTTATAACGTTAAAACGAATATTTTCTTTTACCTTGGTGAGAACCACTTGAAATTGTTCAATTGTTTGACAGTTAAAAGTTTCAGTTCCGAGGCTGTGCTTGTAATTTTTGGCGAACTTCTGAACGCAATCTTTCTACGGCCATCTTTTGTCGCTTCTTGTATGGTTTCTCTTTGGCTTTATGCAGAGTATTTCAATATTTATCTGCGTTCCGATGATATGAATGTCCAAGATCTCTTTTTCATGTTCTGAAAAAATTGTTGCATTTCAAAAGATTTTCTCAACGATTAAGCCAATGCCGTCAAACATTCTTGGTTTCAAATCTTGTACTGGTTCAGAGATACACTTCATCGAACAAATAGCCCATAGAGAACAACCTATTGTTATGGAGCAGTATCCTATCCATTTATTTAATCTTTATTTATCATTGTATTTGCAATAGAATTTGTATATCTTCACACTCTTTCAGCATGATACTAGAAGTTGCCCGCCCAGTCAGTTTTGTCAAGAACCCCTACCGGAGATGACCCAAACTGCAGCAGAATTTCGGTCGTTATAGTTGACGCTCAATTACGCTTTGTTGCTTTGTTGATTGAGATGATATCTAGATGCGACGTTAAGGAACACACAAAACTTTATTTCAACGATAGAAATGTCTTCTATACAGACCAATAAAGCGAAAATGAGCGAACATCAGAACCCCCTGGGTAAAGTAATGGGAGATTCCGCCTTGAGGATGATGGGAACAAAGATGGCGGGAAATTTGCCCAATATTTTTGTTCGAACTCGATCAACAGCGATTCAGACCCTTTAGTACGCTTGATGTAGAGTTGTATAGGAAGGAAACACTTGAGTTGTGAAGTCACCAATTGCTGAAGTACAAAAAGTAACCAGGTGCGTCTTTTTCCCGAGTTGATGGCTCAAAATGTGATAGCTGATCGTGAGAATAGGAGTGGGAGGGGGGCAGAATCACCAAACTAGCAAGCCGTTCCCCTGTACCAAAGGACATATCATTCCCTGTAATCGGTGTTAACAATATTGGAAATGATACAGAGTGAAAATTCGTGTATTTGCCTGAAAATATTCTTCCTCCAATGCTGATTCTAGTAGTTTTTGTTGAAATGAGTTGACAAACCTTAAGTTATAAATTTTGACATCTACACTATACTACACTTCAGACACAGATGGGGTCATATGAGGACAGTTATGAGTTGGAGGGGTCGATGACTCCGCCCCTGTCTCCATGTGAACCGATGATGATTGACAGCTATGACCACCATCCCCCTACAAGTACAGACTTCACACAGGAGGCAGGTGAGATGGGTTAGCAATCCTACTTTTGGATCAGAAGGTCAGGGGTTGAATTCCAACTGGCCAGTTGCATACATACTGGTAGGAGTTAAAGTTTTGAAGGTGATGTTTACCCAGTGCTCCTGTGAAAGCTACTATAACAGTGGACTGTGAAGCACAATGAGCACATGAAAGAACCCTCCATGATTATTGAAAAGTGCATGAATGTGCACTCATGTATTACCATGATGTCCATCCTATTCTAGCCGTGGCGACTCTTGACTCGGGCTTACATTGCATTACCCTCTGCAAGAGTCGTGGAAAGATCCATTGGCAGAACTGCACATTTCCCGTTGGCTGCTCGATGCTCCGTTTTTGACCCGGTTTTTTGCTGTCCCGAGCTTCCCTACAATATAACTCCACAATTGGCCGGGTTGCCGATGTTCAGATCGGCCTAAATATTCCACAGCGCGACGGGAAAGTACTAAAATAGCTAGTCGGTACATCCGCGCCGCCATTTTGGATATAGTCCGGAATGTCCGCTACCGCCGTCGGGAACGCTCGGTAGCGCCACGATTACCGAAGCGGGACCGAAAACTCTCCGATCATAACCGGAAAGCCTACCGAGCGTTCCCGACGGCGGTAGCGGACATTCCGGACTATATCCAAAATGGCGGCGCGGATGTACCGACTAGCTATTTTAGTACTTTCCCGTCGCGCTGTGGAATATTTAGGCCGATCTGAACATCGGCAACCCGGCCAATTGTGGAGTTATATTGTAGGGAAGCTCGGGACAGCAAAAAACCGGGTCAAAAACGGAGCATCGAGCAGCCAACGGGAAATGTGCAGTTCTGCCAATGGATCTTTCCACGACTCTTGCAGAGGGTAATGCAATGTAAGCCCGAGTCAAGAGTCGCCACGGCTAATCCTATTCTAGCTCTGTTCTCTTCTTTTATGATGTTGATGACTACTTGTTCTTGACCTTGCTTCTCCAGACAGTGGCTGTTCCCTGCAGCTGACTTGCTTTAAGTGCCATGGAGAAGTCACTACAGAAGGAAGCCTGCCTCCTCACAGGAACACTTACATCTGGTCAGGTGTGCTACACAGGTAAGGGTGATGATTGACTGTCTGACCAGTACAATATTGATCCGAGACTGAACATGTGTTTTGGTTTTTAGTACTGACATTATTTTATACTTATAGTACAAGTGGTATGTAGTATCTAGTCTTTGATTATGCTAGGTGTTAAGTTATGTTACAAAGTGTTCAATTTTCCTCTGTTGTCAAAAATATCTTTAGCTTCACTCTAAGCAGAGGTCATAACTGTTTACTAACTGTCTTGTGATGATAAAATCAGATTTATTACTGTGTTTTTTGTTTTCTGTCTTCTTAAGAATGCCTTATTTCCTCCCAGACTGCTAGAAAGTTCAGACCCGAGTCCCCAGCTGTTCCGAGGTCGTCTGTCGGAGTTGTTTGGTTACAGGTTCCTCACAGAGTCTGCAGCTGTGGAGTCAACACAGAAACTCTTTTACATGGCCAGGTCAGGCAGGTTTTAAATGGTCTTTCTATCAAACTGAGTTGCCTATTTTGAAATTCAGACATACATGTACTTTAGGGGGGCTGTTCTTTGGAAGATTTGGATGGACGTCATGGACTGTGACCCTTTCCAGTAGCATGCATGTTGGGATTAGAACTCTGCACTGGGATTAGAACTCATGATTCCTTCAGCCAGAGGCAGCTCAAAGGTGAAATAAAAGTAAAAATGAAATTATACCTGCACACTTCCTATTTGGGTATATCATTTACCTTATGCAGTATTTCCTATGCTTATCGCTAGGTGGCGCACGTGTACAAAGCTTTAATCGCAAAGCATAACGGGATATCATGACGTAATGACTATTTTCGCCGCCATTTTCCTTGTGCGAACGCGAGGGGTGCACGTTGTTTCCCTACTCCTTATTTTTTCGGATTTTCTTTCGGCGTTATGCCCAAAAAGAAGGATAAAACGAAGTCTTCTGCCCACGGGGGCGATTCAGGTAGCCTTTCGGAGGACCAGACAGGTCGGAATGGCAAGAGAAGTGGTCAGTTTCCCAACGCTAGGCAGGCAAAGTTCCTTGCCGTGGAAAAGACAGGCGTGCCTGTACTTGCCTCCGGACAGGAGGAAGAGGAGTCGGGTGAACGAAAAGTCCCCGCTCCTACAGCTGGAGGTTCGGAGGGAAAAGAGAAGAACCCCAACCTCATTCCGCCGCTAGTGGAGCGAAATGCCCCTTCGGCGTTGGCACTGGGAAAATCGGCCAAGGAAGGAGACGGTGGGGAGGACAGAGCAAAGGTTGTAGACGAGGAAGTGCACAGTATGTTGGAGAAAGGTGCAGTGGTCCAGGCGGAGCCCTGCGAGGGCCAATATGTTTCTACGATTTTCCTAGTCCCGAAAGCTCGGGGAGGCTGGAGACCGGTTATAAACCTAAAGTCTTTAAACAAGTTTGTTCTGAAACGTACTTGCAAGTTCGAAGGGATAAACCTAGTCAAAGAGTTGTGGAAAAAAGGAGATTTTCTAGCAACTATAGATCTAAAGGATGCGTACTTTACCATCCCAATAGCTCAGAGCGATCGAAAATTCCTTCGTTTTTCGTGGAGAGGAGTTCTTTGGGAATTTCAGTGTCTTCCCTTCGGTCTGACGTCGGCGCCGAGGGTATTTACCAAGGTTTTGCGGCCGATTGTGGCCATTCTAAGGAGACAAGGATTGTTAATAGTAATTTTCCTAGACGACTTACTGATCATTGCAAGGTCGAGGGAACAGTGCTTAGAGCACATTGCTATAGCCAGAGAGCTTCTAGAGCAACTCGGTTTTGTTCTCAACCTGGAAAAGTCGCAGTTGATACCGTCTCAGGTAGCGACCTTCCTAGGCCTTGTTCTCGATTCTCGTACCTTGACAATTTACCTACCAGAGGACAAGTTAGACAAGGTAGTGAGTTCTTGCCAATCACTTCTAGAACAGGAGGTGATAGGAACCAGGCAGCTAGCCAGCGTGGTGGGGCTGTTAGAGTCCACCAAGCAAGCCATTCTTCCCGGGCCCTTACATTTCCGGGCTCTGCAACAGCTTCTCAATTTCGGCATAAAGAAGCCGGGAAAATTCGACTCTTCAGTCAGTCTAACCCCAGATGCAGTAAAAGATCTACAGTGGTGGATCAGTCATGTGCGCGAAGTAAACGGTCGCCGAGTCTTTGTTCCGTCAGACCTGACAATTTGCACAGATGCCTCACTGGAGGGATGGGGCGCGCATTGCAATGGTCAGGAGACAGGCGGGCGCTGGTCACAGACAGAAGCGCGCATGCACATCAATTGGCTAGAGTTGAAAGCGGCCTTCCTGGCGCTAAGAAGCTTTGTGAGCGCGGATACTCAGCATGTTCTGCTAAGGCTGGACAACACAACAGCCGTTGCGTATGTGAATCACATGGGGGGAACAAGGTCGCCGGATCTGGCAGCCTTGGCCCTGGAGATGTGGTCGTGGGCCTTGGAAAGAGGCCTGATGTTGTCTGCAACTCACGTTCCCGGATTGACAAACACCCTAGCGGACAGGTGTTCGCGGGTTTTTCTGGACAAGGTCGAGTGGCAACTGAACCGCTCAGTTTTCCTGTCATTGAACAATTGGACAGGCAATGCATTGACAGTAGATCTGTTTGCGTCTCGTCTGAATGCTCAGCTGGAGGAGTATGTCTCTTGGCACCCGGAACCAGAGGCCATGGCAGTGGATGCTCTAAACATTCACTGGGGCAACCTGGGGCTAGCGTATGCCTTTCCCCCCTTCAGCCTAGTGTTCAAGGTACTGAGAAAAGTCCAGTCAGACGGAGCAACAGTGATTTTGATAGCTCCAGTCTGGAAGTCTCAGGCTTGGTACCCCAAGGTGTTGAACATGTTGTTCGAGAGTCCGGTTCTCTTACCACAGAGCTGGGATCTGCTGTTCCTGCCACACAACAGGAGACCCCATCCGCTGTTGCCAGATCTGATGCTTGCCGCGTGGCCAATATCAGGCGACAGTTGCAGGGTCGGGGCCTTTCGGCAGGGGCTTCAGACCTCATCCTCTCGGCTTGGAGAGAAAGTACTTCTAGACAGTATCAGTCAGCATGGGCTCAGTGGGCCAGCTGGTGTGATAGAAGGGAGATTGATCCAGTTTGCGGCTCTATAGAGAGCGTAGTAGAATATCTGGAATGGATGTTTCGACAGAACTACAGCTATATGTCAATTGGGGTGGCTCGTTCTGCGATCTCGTCTGTTCACTTACCAGTAGACCATTGTAATGTGGGTAGTCACCCTCTAGTGTCCAAACTGATGAGAGGTGTGTTTCACAAACGTCCTCCTTGTCCAAGATATGTTTCAACATGGGACGTCAGTCGGGTCCTAGAGTACCTTCTGCATTGTTGCCCAGCTAATAGTCTTAGTTTGAAACAATTGTCTCATAAGTTGGTAACACTAGCGGCATTGGTCTCAGCCGACAGAGGTCAAACTTTAGCGGCTCTCGACTTGAGATTCATGAAAAAATGTAGAAACGGTGTTTCTTGGACTATTCCTACCCTGCTAAAAACTTCTAGACCAGGAAAACCTGCCAGAAAGTGTTTTTGGGCGGCCTTCCCGCAGGACAGGCGCTTGTGTGCCTTCACATACCTGAAAGAATATCTAAGGCGGACTTCTTCCCTTCGGAAAGGGGGGGGGGGAGCAGAAGTTGTTCATATCGTTCAGCAGACCACACAGGCCAGCTGGTTCTGCGACCCTGGCCAGGTGGGTTAAGTCAGTGTTAGGCACGGCAGGTGTTGACACAGCAACTTTCTCAGCTCATTCTACTCGAGGAGCATCCACTTCAGCTGCTACAGCTGCTGGGGTGTCTCTACATAGCATCATGAAGGCAGCGGACTGGTCAAGAGAGTCTACCTTCCTGAAGTACTACAGGAGGGACAACAACCAACACACGTTTGGCCAGGCTGTGCTGTCCACGGCTCTGAAGTCTGCATAAGGTAAATGATATACCCAAATAGGAAGTGTGCAGGTATAATTGAGGATTAGGCAAATTGTACTTACCATGAAGGATAATCCCAATTATACCTCACACGAACTATTTGGGTATATCTTCCCACCCTTGCTGTTCTTCAGCTTCCAAGTAGCTGAGAATGCCCACCCATGGTGAACAGCACAGACTCTTTCTCGCACGTCGTCAAATGGCGGCGAACATAGTCATTACGTCATGATATCCCGTGATGCTTTGCGATTAAAGCTTTGTACACGTGCGCCACCTAGCGATAAGCATAGGAAATACTGCATAAGGTAAATGATATACCCCAATAGTTCGTGTGAGGTATAATTGGGATTATCCTTCATGGTAAGTACAATTTGCCTAATCCTCAATTAAAGGATTAAAATTGTTCATATCAAGCAGCAGAGGTTTTATTGTCTTTCCTCATGGTTTGTTAATACATGTAATTTTTACTGTCTCTGTTTTACCCTCAGACAACAGCTGAGTCAGCTGGAGGGACTGGCAGAGGAGGGGTCATCCTGGGTCACAGGAGGTGGGTGTGGTCGGAAAATTATCTCAACATTTCTGTCAGAAGTTTATGGTAGGTCCTTGGACAGGGTTTGTCTAATTGTCCGGTTATGAAATAGTACAACAGTGGGCCCTATTATCTTCAATGCATTGCACATGCTAGTTGATGAGTACAAAGCAAATCTGTTCATACTGACTTTCATGCTTTTTTCATGTTGTAGGTTCTGTGAACACAGAGGCACTGCATCTCAGGCAACAAGTCACAGACTTCCTACAGTACATCAAAGTCTTCTTACACAGGTAAAGGTCTGGTCATGAAGTTTTATAGTGTTTGAAAATAGTGGTAGACAGAAAGGTTTTCAAAAGAAAATATACCTGTTACAAAACTGACATACATGGTACTTAAATTTTTACAGGTACTATGACCCACCGTCATTACCAGACAGTCATAGCCACCCCAACAGTCATCAACTCTCCCAGTTTCCTCAGGGTCTGCTGCAGCAGCTACAGGGGCTGCTGTTCCACGTGGGACAGCTAGGGGGAATGCAGGACAGCACTGTCAGCTCAGCCGTGTCAAGACAGGCTGTCAAGGTCAGATGGCTTTTTAGTTTGTTTTTGGCTATACCTCCGAGGCGGAGCATTTTAACCTTGAGTGTGCTCAGCTCCACTGTTGTTGCTGTCGTGACCATAAGTCTGTGTTACCTGCCACTTGCACACTTGTTTCATGAGAGTTTGCTTAGCTAACAATTATTTTTTTCTTATCTTGTTTTCAGAGTTCTACTCCTGCCCACAGCTTCTTTCATGTTGTTCTTGACATCTACTGGTCTGCAGTAGAGATTCTCTACATATTACAGACAAAGTGGCCAGGTTAGTTAATGACTGAATGTATGACTGAATGTAAGGATGAATGAATGGAAGAATAAAACTACTCATTTTAAAGTGGGTTAAAGTAAGTCAACGGAGAAATAGGTTTGAAAAAATAGAGCAGGTTTGGAAAAAACATACTAGTAAGCAGAAAGCTATTTTTTACTCTCAGTCTCAAAGTGCAAAACACCCTAAGGTTTATCGTCATGTACATATATTTTTTTCCCTGACAGATCTCCCAGTTCACATGGACCTGTCCAGTTTCCTGCCCAGTGAAGACATAGGAGACAGAGATCTCCTCACACAACTACTGACAGCTCTACTGTGGGATCTGCTGTCTCTCGCTGCTAAAATATTCAACAAGGTAGGCAGGCTTTCAGGTTTTTTCTCTTAGTTGAAATAGCATAATCAAGGGGAAAGAAACAACTTATTGTAACACACCAGCTTTGTAGTTGTAGTGTGGCCAATGTAGAGAGGATTCTTAATGCTTGTCTCAAAGTGTCTAAGGTCCACCACAAAGTGGTCACATTGGCTATTTGGTCCTTATGTAAAGGTGGTGACTTGTACAGGTTTGACTGTATGCTTATTGGATACTGTGTAAGCATTACTACTGTTCTCCCACAGGTGACCCTACAGGAGTGTCCCCGGGTGTCCCCGTTCCCCTGTACTTGTGTGAGGGAACTCTGGATCATGCTCATCCACATGTTAGACCACAGGAGTCAGCACATGCAGTCGGATGTAGGTCTTTGTCTTCTTCAGTAAACACAAATGGTTTCTTCTCAATCATCGGAACAATTTAGTGGCTGAAAAGCGTTTTTGCTGAAAACTATTATATTTTTTGTCACACCAATGCTTAAAGAATAGGCCATCAAATAAAAAAATGACAGCCTGTTATCACCATGTAGTGGCGACCCCCAGTGTGCAGCAGTGGTACTGCAGTCATTTGTTTGTTTGTAACTTTTTTTTTACAGTCCTTCTGGTGTACCCTTTATAACATCTTATGCCTGGTACTTCAAGAAAACGCCACTGGTAAGTCACTACCTTCTTATGTCGTTCTCAATCTTAAAAGGTGGTAAGATTTTGCTTTGCTCTCATACACTTGTGCTTTTGGAATTGACAAAAATTCTTTATTTCTCAGATTTCTCTTGTAAAGACCCTGTTGGCTTCTGTTGGTGGCTGCTATCCCACATTGCACCACTGTACCAGTATGATCAGAATGGACAATTTGCAGACAAGGTAAGGTCTTGTCTGTAACTTTATTTTTGTTTATTTGTTTGTTGCAGTGAAATAACTACATTGGTGTGGTCATTGTGTTCATGATGCCACAGAAGTTTAATAATGTTCTCTGTCTCTCTCTACCCAGCAACAAGTGAAGAGCAACTGGCTTCTCGTGCAGGACCTGATTAAGAAAACCCTGGCTACAAAGGTCAGATATTATGCCAGGCTCTTTAGGGACTCTGACAGGATGTTATGTCATAGGTTCTAGAAAAGAAAACTTCCTGCCATATGAATGTCTGTAGTGCTTTATGGGTGCCATTAGAAAAATACATATTAGTATTAGACAGAATCAGTGAGAAATTTATATTGATTAAAGCTAGATATTAACAAAAACTCATGGAGGTATGAGATTTTTGATTTCTTATTTACGACTGTAGCACAAGTGTACAACTAGGCTGTTGCACATTTTATAAGGATTAATATTGTTACTAGTAATTGTTTGTATGTATGTATATTCAGGACCAGCCCAGATTGGATGAATCTCGTCTGCGTTGCCAGTTAAAGTTCTGTCTGTCCCTGTCTCACCTGTGGGAACCCAACACACAGGCTGTCGTGCTGGTCTGGGAGTACTACTCCAAGAGACTGGTAGGGGTTAGCTTAACGGTTACCTTCTCCCTGCTACCTGAAAACAATGCAAATTTGGTGGCAAAAGCTTTCCTGTAGGGAGATGGCTAACAGCGGTCTATATCTTTAAATCTTTCGACTAACAAGAGCCACAGGTGTCAATGTAATGTTACAATATCAATTTTTGTTCTTATGAAGTTTAGTTTTGTGACGTGATAATAATGAATGTTCAATTAAGTTGGATTTCTTTTCCAGAATGACCTATTCCAAGTGCCTGGTTTGACCCTACAAGGTTTGGCCAGTGTTAGGTAAGTAGTCAGTGTAAACTTCCCAACTTAGTCTTCTCAATGTAGTTTTTACACATTTTGGTAGTCTAAGAATATATTTAGATGTTCTTTGAATCATTCAAAAAGTATAAAGTACATACTTTTATGTTTCTTTTCCCTACAGCAAAACAGCTCTATCCTGGTATGAGAAATGTAAAGAAAGATGCAACGACCACACACTAAGGTTAGTGTGCATAAGGACTTTTATAAAATTGCTAATAAATATAATTATGTATTAATCCAACTGCTCATTCTCAACATTATATTGTGTTATGACCACCATAGCATAGCGGTTTTATCTTTTATTTGAAGTTCGTTTATCCCTTTTTCCAGTCGAGACCAGGAGAACAGTTTTCAGCTGTTTCTGAGACTCCTGGCTGTGCAGCTGCGCCACCCGGGGGCCAGCGGGGAACTGCAGGGATGGAAACAAATCAAGGGCAGGTCAGAGAACTACAATTTTCAATATTTGCAAAAACTTTTTATGCTGCTTTCTAAAGTTTGTTTTTTGGCTATTTGCTTTTTGGAATGCTTGGTATTTTCTTCATTTTTGGGTAGTACGTAAGTATTGGTTTGGGAGGCTGAACTGTGAGTTTGTGTACTGGGTTTTTGTTTGTGTGTGTTTGTTTGAGTAGGTTGACAGCATGTGGATCGGTTAAGATTGGTAGGCAGATTGACAGGAGTTCAAAAGGAAGAATTCAGGAAGCCAAGAATTTTCTACTTTAAAGAAGTTCTGAAATCTCTGATCACTTTTTTTAACTGCTTTTACTTCTAGCTGAAGAAATACGTTACTAGTATTTGTTTTGTTGTGTCTCCCCTTCCTCTATAGGTTCTACTCCAAGTTCCACCAGCGGCGTATGCAGGAGCTGACAGCCATCGGCCTGAGTAACTTCATCACCCTGTTCCTCACACTGGCACTGGTCGCTGATGTCAACGATGTGGTGGGTAGTCTAGCCATGCACAGAAGCTAGGGATAAACAACACTGTATGTTTGCTGGGAAAGCCAAGAGAAAAGACGAAAGAGGTTGTCTCACTTCTTGTGTATGAAATGATGCACTGTAAACCATTAAATAATTGCAATGTTCTACGTAAACTTGACATAATTGTTTATTTCAGGCAGGAAAGATGCAGGACCTCCTAGATTTGCTAAATCATGGACTGATGGACTTCCAGAGAAGGACTATCATCTGGAAAGGTAATGTTAAACCATACTGAGATGCCCATTCCTCAAAATGTCCAATTTGTATATTTCCTAAGTATATTTGGCCTTTGATGTAAGATTTCAACCAAGAAGTCCATTTTTTTTAATCATGTTCTGATGTTAACACCTGTTGTTTGCACCTGTGCAGGTGTGTTTGCCCTGATGCAGGTGCATGAACACAGACAGGTGGACATGGGGCACCTGGCTGACAGGATGGCCAAGTCCTTCAACAGGACATGCAGGTGGGCGTGGTCTGAGTTTGATTGACAGTTTCATCTGACAACTTTTCACATGGTTGAAACCACTAATTTTACTTCAACATTTAAGACCCATTTGCTTGTATATAATGACACTGCTATTATGAATTGTTTTTATGTTTTTGAAGAAATTTATTTTGTGACAGAGTATTTTTTAATTTTTTCTTGGCCAGTATAGGTCCAGCTGAACAAGACAGCTTCACAGTAAACATCATTCTGTAGTCTCTGTATTTTTCCACACATTTACATTTGTATCTGTGTATGTCTTAGGAGTTCTTTATCCCTGTTTTCCCAGTGAGTTCTGTCAGAAAGGTTTAGACCCGTCCCTACGCCACCAGCTCTGGGCTTTACTGAGTATCTATGTGGAGTCAACTCAGGATCTGTGTGAGAATAGCACACTGTTACACCTGTCACAAGCCAAGCTACTGGGTAGGGACAAGTACATTGTGTACAGCTATCATGACATTCTTAATGTTAAACAAATTAAGGGATTTGAATCTGAATCTTATGATTGGTAAATTGCACTATGATTGCACATGCAAGTTCTGTTTCTTTTTTGGTGTTGGGTTTTAGAATACAAACTTATTTTGTTTGATCAGAATCCAGGTTGTGTTAGAGAATTGGGTTTAACATGTACATGTAGTAACAAAACTGTTATATGTTCAATGTTCTATGTGTGTTCTAGGCCCAGGATTCTCCCAACTACTGCCAGTGTGTAGGGAGAATGAACTCAGGACAATTTTTAACTTCATACAGACACTCCTGGCCAAACACAGGTACTGGAAATATAAAGACTTTCATGATAGTTTTATTTTTGCGGTGACCTATCCACTGCAAATTCACGACACTGCGAACATTTTAATCTGCCTTTGGTTGTGTTACTGTATTCGTTTCAGCTGGGAACTCTCGATTTTCGCTGTGCGACTGCCACAAATGTAAGATGACTTTGCAATGTGTTGTATAATTCTGTCCCTGCAGAAGTCTGTATAAGCGAGCCCTAAGACAACAGGAGGAGGGAGTTCAACAGATCCAGTCTACTAACATAGCAGTTCTACAGCAGCACTATAAAGGTGTGGGACATTTTCATGCATCATTCATGAACCTTTAATGATTAACCATCTGCACAGGGAAGTAGCAGTTTGGCTACCACTTTGCTACTGGTAAAAGGATTTGGTAGCAGGGAAAATGTTAAAGAATTTGGGATACATTTGAGCAGTTATCAAGTTTCAAACAAAGTCAGAATGCTCTCTTATAGCAAATATTGACTAGTTGGTTCAAATTACAGTACATCTCGTATTAGCCAAAACAGATTTTAGTAACATACCAAAATAACATGCAAAATTTTCCTGCCTCCCAGTGTGTTTTATAATGCATCACATGTGCCCATGTCTTTCCCCAGACATAGCTGATGCCTTGTGGACTAACATCTTCCCTTATGTAAAGAAGCACAGTATGACCTTGACCCCTCCTCCGACCTTGGCAGACGTGGCGGCAGGATTCACGTTTTTAGCTCTTGACCTGTGAGTACTGAAAATTCTGTTCTTTCTTTGGAATTTCAGATTTTTTTTTGAATGTAGGATTTTTGAAATTTCTGTTTGTGTGAAATTTTAGTACTGTTACTTACAGTAAAGAAATTTATGTTAAAAGCATGTTGCTCTTCCAAAATTCCCTTGCTGTATCCCAGGCCATCCCCTCCTGATTTCACCAGACAGCAGCAGACCTTCTCCAGCATATTCCAGTACTTTGGTCCAGAGGACAGTGTTTGCGCAAGGTAAGCCAGCAAGCAGTCTCTTTGGAAAGTTTGGGGAAATTTTCGGAAAAGAAGTTAAAGATATGTCTCCAGGAATTGTTTATCAAAAGATTTTTTGCAATCAACAACTTTGGTGGAAGGCTGTTATACTGGGTGAAGGTTTACGGCCTCAGAATGCTTGAATTTCTGTTCATTGTAGTTAAAACTTTGGTCATCAACTAGTCTCTTTTTCCCCCCAGTATCTGTTGCCGGTACCTGTGTCACCTCATCCCTAACCAGTCCTTCATGGACCAGCTGTCAGCAGAGTGCCCGGTGTACCAGTCCGGTATCATCCACGCCTGGTTCAGGTGTGTCATGCAGACATACGGACACAATGAACAGATGCAGGAACTCACCAGGTAAGGAGCAGAGTTTGGGTTGGTGCTTGGTGCTTACATCATCCTTCATATACATTTGAATTTTGAATGTTGACAACCAAAAGTTTTATGTGCTATACTTAAATGTAAGTATGCTTTTTGTAGGATGTTTGGTTTTCTTCTTGGTTCTTTGGTTTTGATACATGTAGTTGCTTGATTCAGATATTGTCATGAATTTCTGTTCCAGACTTGTGTTGAGGTTACCAGAAATGGAGATCATACTACACAGCCAGGTAAGATCCTAATGATGTTGTTTTTCAAGAAGTTTAAAGTTGTTATTAGTACATTACACAAAGCTGACTTAGACATCATCATTTACTGTAACACACCAGCTCTGTTGGCATGTGGAGGCAGCAAATATGTTATCACTCTTTTCATTCAAAGCTCTCTAAATCTGTATATACTTAATTCCTCAGGAGAGAATAGATTTTTATTGCCCTATTTAATTCTTGTCCTCTTCATCTCATAGCATGTGACTATAGAGTCATCAGATAGCCCAGAGACTGTAGCGGTCAAGTTCATCAAAGCTATCGGCAGACACTTCAACTCTCTACAGGTAAGGCAAAAGTGCATGTTCCTGTTAAAATGATATTAATTTACAGTAAACTCATCATTCTTTTGATACTGAAATTCTATGATACATGTAAAAGATATTCAATTCCTGTCAGAAATTATAGATAACGGACCCCTCTATTGAAGTAAGTGTTGTGAAAAGAACACATGCTGTAAGGCCATAAGCCTTCTTTGACGATTTTGCACATCTCTCTGTAGTCCCTTCAGGAGAAGACAGAGTACAGAGACCGTGTGATGTTGTACTTCGGTAATGTACTGCGGTACATGGGTCCTTACCTGAAGAACTCAGGTCCTGCTGAGGCTCTGAGAGTGGGGTATCACATGGTGGGCTGTATGGTCAAACACTGCACCAGGATCCTGTATGTACAGGTGTGGATGTGTTTGTTTTGTGACTGTTAGACTTAATTTGTAGGGATTATGCCAGAATAATTTTATTTGTAGTCTCTCGGATGTATTCTCACCAGGTAATATAACTCTGTTGCATGATACACGGTGCAGTGAGAAAATTCATTTTCAGTCAACTTTAAGCTTGAATTGTGAAATCTTTTCTTGATATAGAAATGAAGTAAAAAAATAAAAAGATTTTTTTGCTTGTTACGTCGATGAAGGTTAGACATCCAGGTAATACGATATGCCAAAAAACAGTTACTCAAGCAACTGGATATGATTTTGAAAACGTCAGACGTTTCAGCTAGTATCCACTAGCTTTCGTCAGTGACTGAGAGACCAGAGGGGAAAGCAGGTTTATATACACAACCTGTTGATTGATATGCAAATAAAGTGAAGACAAATTTTTGGAAGTCGAAAAAGGAACAAAAGTCAGACAAGTCAAGCTAGACAAGATGATGCAAATTAGTCTGAAAGCTCCTGTTATACAGGACAGGAGCTTAAGTGTTGTCTGTCCTCGGGGCTGGGAGTGCCAAATCCCAAGTGCCGGAAAGATCGACCCGTAGCCCCCCTTCCCTGTTGAGGGTGGGGTTGTACATTCTTTCATATATTGCCTCTTTAACACCCCGTTCCCACCAGCGTGTTTCGCGGTCTAAGACATCCGTGGACTCGAGTTTGAAAGAGTGACCCTGGTTGTGTTGTAGGTGGTGGAGAATAGCTGAGGAGTAGCCGTTGGCACTAGGTCGGCAATGTTCTTTGTACCTTACTTTAAGCGGTCGACTTGTCTCTCCGATGTAGGTGTTGTTACAATTGGGCTCCTCACATTTGAGTCTGTAAATAACATTCGCCTTGGTACCCTTGTGAGGTCGGTCCTTAGGGTGTACCAGTCTTTGTCTGAGGGTTGAGTGAGGTTTGAAGTTAGTGGCTATGTTGAAGTTTTGGAAGATCCGTCGGAGTTTCTCAGATACTCCTTGGACATACGGAATAGTGATGTTGGCCTTGTTTTGTTGGTCAATGGTTTGCACTTCTGGGTTTTCTTAGACTGATCTGAAGGTTTGAGCGCTTTGTTGAAAGTCCAGTTTTGGTAGCCACATTTAGCTAGGGCACCTCGGAGGTGTCTATGTTCGTCCGTTTTGGCTTGGTCTGAAGTGATAATGTTGTCTGCACGATGGAAGAGAGTTTTGATCACTGCTAGTTACTCCGTGAAGGAGGTCAGGACCTCCGGACGGAGTGTTGTAATCGGCTGATTTTTCATGTTCGCAGTCAAAACACTGGGTTCTCTTTGTGTAATCGGCACGCAATTTTATACGCCGTCTGCGGGCATGCCCGTGTTGATGCACGAATGTGTATTTTTGCCGTTGCTGCTTTCGCGGTCAATGTAATATCGCAGACGCACCCCTACAATTACGAGGCGAATTGGAATGGTCCAGAAAAACGCGTTGTTTGGAATAGCAGTGGGGTTCAAAAAAGTTCATGCAGATACGGGGTGGTTTTTATAAGTGGTTCCAGATGTTTTTGCCCATGGTTAAGAGATGCCAAGTTTTTTGGAAGATGTTCGCAGCCAAAACGCATTCTTCCGTACGTCGCATTTCTGTGTAATTTCGCATGTGGTGTTGCATTATGTCCGGGATGATGCACGTCTTTTTATTTTTACCGTAGCTGTTTTGATATTGGAGTAAATGCTTATTTTCGAAACATCCCCATTTCTTTGAAATGGTTTCGTCCGTTTATGCAACTGTTACTGCGCTAATGACGACCAGTCGCGCTGTCCTGATACACCGCGAATGTGCGAGTGTTCCCTGTAGACAGTCCCGGGAGTCATTTTTTTGCACATTCCAGGAGCCAAACCAAAATACGTTCATGAACCGAGTCCAAAAAACCGAAACGTGAAAATCGGATGATCGGACCTGATGTACATTTCTCTTTCTATAGATTGTACACACAATACACACATCTTTAGATAATCTGGCCATGGCAGGTTAAAAAAAAGTAACTCTGAATCATACTAGATTAGCGTAAATGCATGTTAATGCGTTCAAAACAAGAAAAAAATTGTTTCCGGGTATTAATCTCTTGAATCACGGCGCTGAATATTGACGCAAAAATATTTCGGGCATCGCGCGCCCTTCCCGCGTCACGTGTAGGCATCTCGCATCTCTGATTGGTTGTTGCGTCTTAAGATGACTGAGCCAACGCGCGTTTAAACAATTTTTCTTTGTTCGATTTATCACACTTCACAGAGAATTGTCGCCAATGGCTACTTCTTTTTGTTGCAATATATAATACTTCACGGAGAATTGTCGCCTATGGCTTCTTGTTTGTGTTCCAAAGGGTGGTGGGAATCAATAGCCAGGTACTGATCAGTGTGGGTTGGTTTCCTGTACACTTCGAAACGAAGGTTACCATCTTCCTCTACGATAGTTTTGGTGTCTAGGAAAGGGAGCATGTTGTCATGGCTTGGCTCCTGTGTGAACTTGATGTTGTCATCTATCTGGTTGCTTGAGTAACTGTTTTTTTGGCATTTTTTACTTGTTCATATATCAACTTTAGTGGACAAGCATACTGCCCCTACGGCCTACATACTTATTATATTTATACTTATTATACAGTGCAGTTTTTAGTAAACATCTTTTTCTTTTCTCTCTCTGTGACCAGTCCAACCCCCGCTCCGTGCTGCCCAGCCTGGTAGACAGGTTGGTTCTGCCCCGGACCATCTTCAACCCTGAGAAAACTCTGCACCCTGCAGTCATGGGGGTCATCAGGGAGCATCTGCACCTGGTATGCTTTACACTTTGACCATTGTGACTGATTCTATTCTTTAGAATTGAAAATTTTATCCTTGAAACAAACTTTTGGATGTTAGCAAAGGATAGACCAGGAAAGTTCTTGTGTAAAACAAGACGGGCCGTAAAATGGTTGTCATGGCTAAAAAAATCTGCAAAGTGGCAGTTGAAATATTCTAAAATGTGCATATTTGATGTTTCACACACTTTATGTTTGTAGTTTGTCCAGGGTTTGAGTAAGCTGAGCTACAAGAGGGACCCATTTGCACAGAAGGCCCTGAGAGATATTCTGCAGCAGTACTTCCACAGGTTCTCAGTGGTGAGTAAACCAGGCTTCGTTCAACAAAGACTCGCCAAAGGCAGGTTTGAAATTCTGTCATGTATCAAACTATCAAACCTTAGACATCTTCCATCTTTCCACTTTTTTGGACAGAGATCCAGAAACAATGAAGTAACTTGCTATAGCCTTTTTCTTGTTCTCTTTAACTACTGGTATAAAGCTACCGGTATTGCGTTTATCTCTCTCTAAAAGATTGTACTGTGTGATTTTTTTGTCAGAAATCTGGGAGTTTTACCTCTGCTCAGCCACAAGTCAACCACCCCTTACTGGTAAGTACAGTCAGTTATTCCTTGTGATATGTTACGATGCACTTTTGAATCCAAAAGATCATCTGTATGTACATGAAATGTACATACCTAACCTGAAATTGTTCATTTGACATCTCTGAAACAGGGAATTTGCATCACTTACGGCATTGTGCACTTAACAGCCCACATCTTTTTTGTGTGTACATGTATTTTTTTCTTGACTTTGAAGTGAAAATGTCTGTGTGTGATGGTATATGAATTCTGTCTTGCAAAACAGCTTCTGTATTTAAGACTTGAATTCGATTCATGAGTGATCAACTTTATGAACTTGCAGCTTGCTTTGAGTGAGACCATGTCGAATAACCCTAGCACAGAAGCAAGGTAAGGATTTAATTCAGATCATCTTTTGTCAATTTCTAAATAATGATAACATCTCATCTATGCAAAAACAGTTGTCCATCTAGCAGCTACTTTGCAAATTGCAGATTACAAACATGTAGATCCTCTGAAAGAATCAATGCTGTCAAAGGTTTTCTACTGTATAATTTTTTTGTTTGTTTGTTTACAGCCAGTTCCGTGTGCACCTGTTAGAGGGCATCAGGGACACGTACATGACCTTGAGATCAGGATCTCTCCCCAACAGGGTCACTGAGGTAAGTGCTGAAGACTGCTCTCACTTTCAGAGAACATTTTCAATAGGCTTATCCTGACTGAATGACTTTCCATTATGTAAACCACTCATTATGTTTCCACAGACTTTCTCCTTCATCCTGGAGTTGTTCAGAAGAACTCAGACATCTGGCCAGATAGCAAGGTGGGCTAGTGATTGATTTTTAGTGAAATATTACGTATGTCAATTTAAGTTGTGTTAAGGCCATACCAATTTACTTTCTTGGTTAACGGATTTTTCAAGAAAAATAATGGAGCGGGCGGGCGAAAAAAAAAAATAAAAACAGGCCTATGCATCCTATTATGGCCCAAAATGGTACGTACGATAGGAGCCATGAAGTCAACACACCAGGCTGGTTCAAAATTTAAACAATGAATTTTGAACTTTAAATGATACTACTGCATTGGAAGATGGAATGACTGTAACAAGTAGTAAGAAAAGGACTGTTTTCAACTGTTCAGGGCAAAATATGAGCATTTTGCAATTGATTCTGAATTTTTATTTTTATTTGCAAATCAGAAAAAAATGAAGCGGCGAATCCGTTAACCAAGAAATTAAATTGGTGTGGCCTAAGTGTGTTTCCTAAGGACACAACATCTAGCCAGGAATGTCGGGGATCGAACCCACAACCTCTCGATCTCATGGCTGCTGGCCTAGCTACTCTGCCTTTTGACATCACAAATGTATTCATGTGATGTGACATTGACATTATTCTTGCAGAGACACCCCGGCATTGCTTACAACTGTCTTGGAATACCAGCTGCTATGTGACATGCCTGCCATTAGAAAACAGGGTTTGTACAAGTTTTCTCCATTTCTCATACATTTTGCTCTTTCTTCCATTTGATTGCAATGAATAGACATACAGTGTACAAATCAATGGAAGAATGAATCCCGATTAGTTTGGGAGGACAACTTGTAAAGGTGTCAATGCACCTGTTTTATCATATGTAGGATAAATGCCTGTGAAGTAAAGAGTGTTATCTGAACCATGATTTTTCTCCCATCAGTGTCTGAGATGCTCCAGTTCATGATGGAGAGCTGTCAGCAGTGTCCTGATGTGACCCCAAGGTAGGTCATCTCCATGGCAACAAGCTGCCTGATTTTCTCATTCTCTCTTCCTTTGGTTCATTCATACTTACATATAAGTTACAAGTACATGTAAAACACTGTACTTTTCCTCTCCAGGACTGTACTGTTGCCCATCCTGAGAGACTTCCTAGCCCGGAACCTCAGGCTTCACCAGAGCAGGACCTTCAAGCCATTGGAGACACTAGCCCTGCTGTACAAGGTTGGTGTCAAAAGTGTAAAGTTCTGTTTAAGTTGCAGTTTTATTGTCAAAGTTATGAGTGTCATTTTTATACCTCCATGTTTCTGTTTTCCCACTCTCTTATGGGAGGGATTGGAAAAATGCCTTTACAGAATCCATGAGAAATTAAAAAAAAACTCTAGATGTATTAGATACTTTCTAAGTACAGTGTACTGTTTTTTTTTTAACAGGACCTGATAGCAGACCTGATCCCAGTCTTCACTAATGCTGTACTGGAGGTGGAGAAGAAAAGAGGAGTGGGGGCAGACACACAGCTCAGGTGAGTTTAATCCGTTTATTCACTTGACTAGCAGTATTAGATGGTGGTTTTCAACATGCCATTGGGGCTGACATTGACGTAGAAATTTTGTATTGATTTCTGTTTTAAATATGGGGTTCTTATGTTTGTGTAGTGCATTAAGAGTCATTTTAAAGAGTCCATACTGATAATGGATAAGACAGTATAGATGGAAATTTACTGCTGTAAACATGCTTTTCAACGACACTTTTGAAACTTTGTTGTGTTTGGTTTTCAGACAAGCGTACACATCTCTGCTGAACCAGCTAGGACAGAAGGGACAGGAACAGCTAGACATCCTCAACACTGAACATCAGGATCCAATCATGTGATGCAAGCAAAACTGCTGGATGAGATCTTATAGCTTTCCTTGCACTGTAATGAGACCAAATCTGAGAACTGAGTTTTAATACAATTATCCTCTTCACTGGGTAATCTGATTCAGACTCTGTTATGAATACCGTAGTAACGTCAGACAATTGCTACTGAAAAACGTTTTGTACACCTTTTGATTCTTGGAGAGAACTGTACAAATATACTTTTTGGAATACCCACAAGACTTGATTCATCCATCCATACATGCCAGGTAGTTTGTTTCAGATACATACACTTTATGTACACATTTTACAGGTACACGTGGAGACTTAAGATTAGTATCTGTAAAAGTCTTACCAATAGTGTAAAAAAAGGGCTGAGACATGACAACACAGTCTATTTTCTTTTTTTTTATTCCCCCTAACACTAAACAGTTGTTTTTACATGGAAAAATAACAGGAATACAGTGTTACAAACCAGAGAAATAGTTTGTGTAACATATCCTTTATCAGAATCTACATCATGTCCTAACTTTGGTCCTTATAATAGTGAATAAGAAAGTACAAGTCTTTGTTTAATGTATTTGTACTACACAAATTAATTTTTTTATCAAGTGACATAAGAAACAAACAAAATGGTACACTGGACACAACTGTTTGTGACATTCTAGGTCTCAGTTTTTACAAAAGCTTTATGTGTGTACATACGCCATACATTTCTGACATGCTTTATATTGTTCCCTTGTGTAAGAGACACATTCCCAAACTGATGATCTATACAATGGTGTGAAAATGATCATGATAAGAGAAGCTGACTGACTCTAAATTTTTTTACTTGATCTTCCAAGTACGTTTCTTCCAATGACCACTATACATGGTGTCATCAGTGGGATTGACTTTAAAATCTTGGCCGTTTCCCTCACAGCAGCCCCTGCCTCTTCAGATCTTCATAAGTCTTCTTGGTGACCACGTTACCCGTTGAGTCTTCATACTCTTCCTGCAAGGTGGAGAGAAAAATAAAGGACTTAGAATTGAAGGACAGTGTTACTTTTGAGGAAAAGTTTAACGACACAAGTCACATGGTCATTCTATTACAGAATATTTTCCTAGTGTTAAAATTTGAATAAAAAAAATGAACTGACCTCCTGGTCTGGCTGCCACCGCTCTGCAGACTTGCTAGTCTTCAGTTTCTCCCACACTGTAGAAAAAGAACATATAGTCAAAACAACACTTTGTATTGTAATTTGGTTATGGAGTTAAACAGCAAGGTTAAACAAATTATGCTATAGAGGATGGGGTCTGGATACTAGGATGTGAGACTTACGTGCGACAGCGTCCTCGATCAGGGTGACGTTAGCGAAGTGAGCAGTGTTGGGGATCCCCAGACATCTCATGCCGTGGGCATGGCGCCACTCCTGGGAGAGAGAGATGGACATTTGTCAATTAATACAAGTTCAAGCAAGGTCACTTTAAATCTAGAGAGATGTTAGAAATCAGTCTTTGACAGCTTTTAACATCTGGGTGTGAAAGTATTGCTTGGGTGGCTGACCTATGGGTTGGTGTATCTGTCAGAGAAGGTTGACAGCTCATGGGCATTCGAAGATTTACATTCAAAATGACAAGACAAAAGTCTGGAGATAATATCTTCAGTCAGCACTCACAGCGAAGTGTCTCTGGAAGGCCTTGGGTCCCCTGTAGGTGTAGTTCCCACAGATCTCACAGCTGTAGCTGATGTTCAGGCCGTGCAGCTTGTACAGCCAGTATGGGATCGGCTAGAAAAATTGGATCATAACATTTAATACATATTTAGAACAAGTGTCCTAACTTCATAACACAAGCTGATGCAGGTACCGGATATCTTGACATTTTTGTGGGTTTTTTATTTTTTGCAGTGTCCTCTACCGTGCAAATTCATGACACTGCGAATAAGTCTTCCTTGTATGAGAACTGTACCACAGAATTCAATTGTTTCAATCACAAATTTAGAAACACTAAGAAAACCTCCTCTTCCCTCCTACCACAAAACATTGAAAGTAGCAGAATTTACTGTAAGAAGAGACAATTTGTTGAAAAAGGGTTTGCATGTATATACCTTGCCATCCCAGCCCAGTGGAAGGTTCTTGGGGTTGTAGATGATCTCATTTTCCTCGTCTTCACTCTCACTTTCGCTGAACTCCTCTGCGTCCTCGTCCTCTCGCTCTGTGTCCGTACGAGCCTGCCGGCGCTGCACGTTCTCACGCGTCGCCGCTCGGTGCTCCTGTGGGAGGGATCGATGGCAAGATCTACTTACAATTTGTACCAGGTTTTAAAGACTTGCACACTAAACACAGAAAAGATTAAACAATACAAAATTTCTCACTAAAAAAAATCATGAAGAAAAAATTCTGTCCTGAAAGAAACTGACACTACATAATAACAGGAATGGATACATAAAATGCACAATGATTGCTGTACGTTGTTCATTAATTTTACAAAGGAAGACTTACACTGAGTATCTCGGAGAGTCGGTACACCTGTCCCTCAAGACTGGCGATCTCCTTCTGTTTCTCACTCACATCCCTGAAGGAAGGGACAAACAGTTAACAGTTAAAATCATCTTCCAACTTCATTGCTTCAAGCAGTACAGTACACACTGTTTGAACACTGTTTGAACACAAATGTGTTCAAGTTTCTTTGGGAAAAGATGGGGGAAGCATCTACTCTTGTTCTCGTATATGTCAAGGAGTACAAAATGCTGGCAAATCCACTCAAATCAAATTTACTCACTTGGCTCCTTTGCCCTTCCCTGGCTTGGACTTGGCAAACAGTGAAGGGTCCAACTCCTCAAGACTCTTTCCTGGGGAAGAAACATGTCTTCAAGTTAGCGATGTGGTACGACAGAGATAACATTCTTCCTACAATCTAAGATGCCGTACAAATAGCTTGAAGTGTCTTTGGTCGACATTCTCGAATCCTACCCAAGTTCCTAAAAACTGATGCAATATTTAACAGAGGAAATGCTTTGCCTGCTGTACCTTTTGTGCTGAAGAGTCGCTGTGCCCTCTCCTCCAGTGTTCTGTGACAAGAAAATTCAGGACAATGTCAGTACAAATGCATACCATAGTAATTCAAAACAGTCAAAGAAACATAAAAATACAACAGCAGGCTACTTTAGTGTGCTGTAGGTTAAGGACTTACCCTCCACACTTGAGTCCCAGAGCCAACAGGGCTGACTTTAACCTGTCAAGACCAAGGGAGGCCAACTCCTGCAGGGAAATATAAATCCATCATTACCTTTGTAAAACTTGTTACCCATCAAATAGAAAGTTTATCCATTGCCACCATACATCTCAACTTTGCATGATAACTATTTAACATTCTTTATTACAAAAGAACAAAAAAGAAAATTTTGTAAGAAAGTACATAGAGCAATGCTGGTGACGGTTAATCACTTACCTCAGCTGAGGAGAAGGCAGATAGGTCCAGATGGGCACCAGAGTGAGCTAAAGCACTGCTTGCCTCTTTCTGTAGGAAAAAAAGGAAAGGATTACATCAGGAATATTCAATCCAAACTAAGAAAAACATAATTTCTTTCATTTGTCTTAAAGACACATGCTTGCAGTCAGTTTGTAGATTAAAGAAAAAAGATAAACTGTTCTACTTTTTGTAGATAGACATTTCCTTACTTTAAGTCTTATCTAGCCCCAGGCTAGAAACAAAAGAGCCCTCTGATTTTTAAAGACAGTGTAGTACATACCGGCCAGCCTGGGAAGGTGCCAGTCTCCCACTGGAGGTTGAAGTCCCTCATGACTTGTTCTACCTCCTCGTTCAGGTCCAACAGGGGGTGTACACGGGCACAGAACCCCTGCAGGTAGTCCAGTAACGTCAGCAGGTAGCTGGAGGGAAACAAGTATGCAAAATTAAGGTTTGGTCTTTAAGATGTTTACTTTAAAAAGGGTCTGTTTGCATGTCACATGTGGTACAAACAGAGTAAGTAGTTGTATTCCGCAATTGGGAACTTTTATTAGACATGGTCTCTTCTTTTATGTTTGCTTGAAAAAGTTTCTAGTTGGTTGTTGGAACATGTAGCACCTACAGGATATTCTGCAATTTGGAACTTTTTTTATTTTTAGGTGTTTGTGAAATATAAGTACATGTACTCACTCCTTGTACTGTGCATTCTTCCTGTCCTTGGCAATGTCAAAGAACTGGTCAAACACGTTCAGGTAGGTGATGTAGTCAACTTTCTGTGGAGGGAAAAGAGTTTTAGATTATATGGATACGTTTCTTATTACATGTACTAGTTTTCTTGATATCATGATCCATCAAAAATCCTACAACACTATGCTTGTATAACAAGCACTATAGTACAACTACAAGACTGAAGAAAGTCACCACATACCTCTATACCCTTCAGGTTGATGTATTTTTCAAAACATTCATGGAGATCCAGGTACTTCCCATACCCTTCCTCGTCTGTGAAGTCCACCATAGCTAAGGAGAAAAACACAAAAAAGGTTTTGCAAAATTGCATGTGAATTGTGAAATATACCAAGGCATATAAAATTGTACATTCTTACTGTAATACAGCAAACACCTGTTTTTTTCACATTTACTACATCATTTTCCAAGAAACTTAAAACCTATGCATATGCATGTCCTACCTTCATCAGTTGGGTTTTCCCTTGCCTCTTTCACCATTTCAAACTCAACTGACATCGGCACACTGATCTGCAACATAGAGAAAAAATATTGCATCTCAAAGCTCTGCTAAGATTATGCAGCAGGGAGAAGGATTAGCTTTTCTGACAAATAGAAGTATAACATCAAATTCGCAGTAGAATCTACAGCCTTCTAAAGGCTGACTTACCTCATTGGGATGTTTCCTATGGAAGTCCTTAATGGCTTTCAGGCGAGAGTAGAACTCCTGGAACTCATTGGGACCAGACAGTGCATCCACCTCTTCTTTCCTCAGCCTGCAAATGAGTTAAGATGTTATCATGAGATGTCAAAAGGGAAAACTGGTAAAGTTCTTCACTCATAAATCTATAGTTCATTTCTACCATTTTGTTAAGCTAGCAGCCCTGATATTTTGACAAAAATAAGAGATTGAATTAAGTTTCTTACCCATCTTTGTCTTCGTACAACTCCTTCAAGTTGGCACACACTTCCATGTATCTCTGTGAAGTACACAAAAATTTATGAGTGAATAATTTTGAAAAAAAAAGAATGACTTTTGTGAGGGTATATTTTAGGTCATACATTAAGGAAGCCCCCGGAATCCATCACTAGAACTGCCCTTGACTGGAACCCCCAAGGGACAAGGAAGAGGGGTAGACCGCGGTTGTCCTGGAAGAGAGGTGTCAGGAAGGACCTAACAGCAGCCAACACCTCGTGGCACGAGGTTAAGACGATCGCAAGGGACCGAGGGAGGTGGAGAGCGTTCACTGAAGCCCTGTGCTCTAGGACGGGCGAAGAGGATTAAGTCAAGTAAGTCATATTTTAGGTACCGTTATATTTCCTGGAGTCAGAATATTTTAATTACTCTCTGGTAGAATTACATGTGGCATACAGAATTACAGGTTAAGGGTAACACTATAAGACTTTAATAACTTGTTTTGGCATAATAATAATTTGGCATACATTTGGTCACATCTAAGTTCTGCTATCTAGTTTGTTTATAAGAACAACATGGCTGATAACTCACATCCAGCAGCTGCTTGCATCTCTGTTCTGAGTTTATTTGTTCCCGATGCTGTTGAAAAGGTAGAAAGCATAGAAATCATTTTCAAAAGCTTTCTTGACATCCATTTTAAGGTACATATGCATTATGCAGCAACATAATACTTTCAAAAGCTTTTATCTCAACAAACTGATACCCGTCGTTGTTTACAATTTAACACATAGTTTTGTTTTCAAGTCGAAAGAAGACATCACAAACTTCATAGAAAACGTTTGCCCCCCTCCCCCTTTCAACATGCACAAAAGATGAGGACAATTTCCGACGTATAATTTCGCTTACCGATCCAGGTTTGTGTAACATTTCCTTCACCATGGCGTCCATAAGACGTTCCCTCTCCTCGTGATACCGTCTCTGCTGCTCGAGAAGGGTCTCCATGTCAGAAAACGGTTAAAACCGGCTGAACTTGTGTGAAAAATTATGTCTACACGAAACGTCTGCTCGACACCGTGTGGGCAAAGCATGCTGGGGGTCGCTAAAAGCGCCCTCTACCGTCGTTGCTCTTTCCTGCAAATGCCCTTGGTGACAAGAAAAGTGCAATTTACCAGCGTTTGTGACGTTTTGTTTGTTGCCTTTTGAAAAACGGGTCATTTTAGGGGGGTAGACCTTAACCTATTGAAAAATGCAAAGATCTAAATCCGAAGAAAGGAACTTCAAAAGAGCATTTTCTAGCCTTCTAGGATCTTCTCAGGGAGAAGGTTTCGCGCGAAACCTTCTCTCCGCGGAATGCAAAACTGATCAAAACTCCCTGGGCGGCAAAATCTACTCTCCAAGCAGTGGTTGATGGTGGAAGATCGTTTGGTTTTTATATATGGCCCCCTTTTTTACGAACGACGGTCTATCACCCACTTGCTACGATCTCTTGCTACGCACATGTCGGTCCCGCGTGTTATAGAAAGAACAATCCTAAGAAAACGATATCACCTTCAGACCGTATATTTCAAGTTCAAAGTTACAATACAAGCAATTACAAGGGAAGCTTCTTGATATAACTTACTTTAATGTCTTACTGCAATGATGTTATTGAATAAACTTATAAACTGTTGTTTGGAAGTCCGTCGGGGCAAGAATGTTATAGGGTTTTATAGAGACCACGTAGGATTGTCAGAAAAGTTCCCAGGTCAGAAAAATGCACTGTAAAGTACAAATCAGCCAGTGAAAGTGAACTTTGGTTTCCCGGCCTTTCAACTCGGGCCACGCCTTTGTTTAGTCACGTGCTTTAAATTTTTCCCGCGCCTTTTTACAAACCGTGCAATTCATTCACGGAAACCCCGTAGTTGGGTCAAGCTTTGTGAAGTCGCCATTTTGACGGAGCTGAAAGAGTTGTGCGCGATTTCTCCCCATATTTCTTCCAATTCCTGGTTTACTTTCCTTTAGGTAAGTTGTGTTTACATACGTAGATCATCTAGATACAGTTTGCTATATATCGCTACAAAATGATTTGTGTACGTGGCTTTGTTTGCGAGAAATCGGTGAATGAAAGATACGCGTGAGGCTGTGGCGTCTACGGGCGTTTATTTTCGCCACGTTTTCTTCAGCATGCCGGCTTCTTTGTCCGGGGTTTCTGGTGAAAAAACACAATATCGTATATCAGCGATCGCTTTTTAAATAACCCCACAACTACATTTAAATCTAGGAAGCTTCTGCTTGCTTATTAAGTAGAGTACTGCGTGTTTTCTGAGGTAAATGTTTCTAAAATGTTATCGGCTTGTGTGCTTCAATCGCCGCCATGCCGAGATATTTTTAGGCCTCGTAAAACAACGTATCGCATCATGCGACTCTAAATACGCACAGATCTAAACCCTAATCCTATCCATACACGCTAAATAAGAATAAACGTAGGTGTAGTTCATTTGCAAGGCATCTCGTTGAGTTGTAAAGGTAGTGTGGAGAAAAATATCTACGTTGCCGGTCTTTGTCTAGGTTTCGAGCGCCCGACGCCATGTGTCTAGCAGCTTGTCGCAAAATGATCATAATTTTCTAGCTACACTTTAGATTCATGATTGTTCCCCTCATCATATCAAGACCCAAATATCTGAGAAAATTGATCTTAATCGTGGTAGAATCTGAAAACGACCATTTTTTTCGTTGTGAAAAGAAAAGGATGTAGTGGAGGCATGGCGTGGGTTTCGCGTCCCTTTGTGTTGCAGTTCAGTGAATCATGAATAAATCAACACTCATTATGCATGGCGTTGCACGTGGACTGTGGGTGTAACGTTACCCAGCATAGCAAAACATGCACTTTACACCCTGTTCATTTACACCTGACCAAACGATTCGTTTGATTTAGGTATATTCCAAATTTATATTATGTAAATTAGCATAAATTTGTGCAATAAATCTGTGTTTTAGCTAGATATTTGTAAATATTTATGAGAATGTGCGAGGCCTTTTGTGAGTTGGTAGAACCAGTATTTTTTTACATTTTTTGTGGGGATGAGGCAAATTATGGAAAATTCCAATTACTAGTATCCGACTTTACGATGAGAAAATTGCCATGGGATTTTCAATAAAAACAGTGTCATGAATGTTATGATGCACGAGAAATTGATTTCCAGCAAGTACTTCTTAGCAAGAATGATTGACACTTTAAAGTCAACAAAGAGTAAATTTTTTGGATGTCTTTGTGATTTGAAGCAGATGTGGTGGCTAGACAGGCAATTATGCCTTGTTATTACTGCAAGGTAGTAGTCAAAACATGAAACTAACACCTCTCACACATTGGCCATCTGTTCCCATGGGTGAAGATTGGAGTAATTTGCATAAGAAATGAAAGGGCTAGCAATGGCAATTAAACAATTGCGAGTATATAAAAGGGGCAGGTGTTGAACACCTGGTCAGTACATTTGCGAGATTTCCGGTAGGTGCAGCAATGGAGTCTTGTGCTTAGCCTTTTGGCAGTTACTCTTTTATATAGATTTTGAAAACTGTCAGACGTTTCTAGTAGTAGCATCCACTACTTTTCGTCAGTTACTGGAAAAAGCAGTGTCACTGACTGTCGAAAAGTACTACTGTAGTGGATGCTACTTGAAACATCTGACATTTTCAGTTGCTTGAGTAACAGTTTCCTCGTGTATCTTATTGTGTATCTCATTACCTGGATGTCTATTCATTGATGTGGTTTAATTTTTGCTATTGCTAGCTAGGCTAAGTTAGATTTGCTTGCAAACAGTTTTACAGTACCATTTGGTTCTGGGTAAAGTTTTTTGTGCCATTTGATGTTGTGTAGCCTTCCTGTGGTGCAGTGTGTTATAACTGTGTGTCGTTCCTCAGTACGTAGCTGTGGGAACATACCGTATCTGCCATGTCTGCAGAAGGCGAGGACCAACCGCAGGCCATGGAGGAGACCGAGCAGCAGGAGCCCATGGAGACGTCGCAGAGCGGCGAACAGGGCCTGCTGGCCTCCGTACAGGAGGCGCTCAACAAGATGTACGAAGATGGTACGTCTCCCTCAGTTTGTCTTCTGTAAATCTTGAAGTAGCACTGTTCCGAAAAATTGATAACTAATTTTTAGAGTAGGGAGGGTGAGTTGAAAGTCAAAGTGAGCTTCTCAGTTTTGCCTATTGTTGTATTGAACCTAGGCAACTTTCCAACAATACATTTTAAATTTTTCCTTAGATGTTCTTTCACCTGGGGATCTCGACGTGAGAGCGTTGGACGCTCTGCGCGAGTTTGACGAGACTGGCGCCCAGGACGTCCTGAAACAGTTCGCTGAGAGCGACCTATCACATGTACAGAACAAGAGTGCATTCCTGTGTGGAGTCATGAAGACATACCGACAACGGAACAAGAACAAACAGAACCAACAGGGAGATGCTTCCAAGAAGGGACCTGATGAGACAAAAATCAAAGTAAGATCAGGTTTATGGAATAGTAGACAGTTTTAAAAGTTAATCCTTGTTGGATTTCAGTTTATAGCTGCTGCAAGTCACTTAAATCCCATGATGACTATTTCCCTGTACTCCAGTATTGTTTTGAATGGCTGAACTGTGGGTTTGTGTGTCTGTCTGGCCAGTGAAGGTGGGAGGAAGATTGACAGGCAGAATGATGTATCAAAAGTTAAGACAGGAAATGGGGACAACTTGTAGGTTGCAAAAATTCAGAATACTTCCTGGAAATCTGAATTGCTGAAAAAATCTGAAACATTTCCGGTTAGTTGTCTTGAAACTCTTGTTACACGTTCATGTTGACATCTTTTGATTTCATCTTTTCTAGGAAATCCTGGACAGAACGGGATACAAACTCGATGTGACGACAGGGCAGCGCAAATACGCCATGCCGGTCACGGAGGAAGAAGAGAAGGAAATGACAGACAAACTCACACAGGTATGAGCTTGGTGCCACGCACTAGGCCCCAGCTGCAGATATGTAAAATAGCCTAGCCTGGTGTTTAATTATGTTAATTTGCAGAGAAATTCTTGCCCATGCAGGTTAGACTGTAAGCTCATGGTGTAAAATGATTTGTTCTATTATTTATTGTGTACTGATTACATGCATGTTAATATGACTAAGCAGAGTTTTTGAAATGGCTTTAATCCTGAAAAAAGGCTGTAATTTTACAAAATAGTTAGTAAAAAGCTTGTTTAGGCATTGACAATGTTTTACCATGTTTTGCTGTAACTGTTACTGTAGCCATTAGACATAGTACAGCTAGGACGTAGCATTCTTTTCTGTTGCTATAGCTTATAGCTTCTGATTGTCTCGCACTTATGAATCTTGCTACAACAATGCCTTTGTCTTGAGCACTATAACTTGATGTGAGAGAAAGATGGCCAGTTTTTTTTCTTTGTAACAGCTGTTGCTGTGATTGAGCATGCTTGTTGGGATCTGTGGGAGTTGGCTTGTATCTACGAGCACGTACCTGCTTCTTTTGCACAGAAGTAGTTGTAGTGACCATAGAGATTACTGTAGTATCCTTATACTGTAGTCCTCTGGGTGTAGATCAATATGACAAATACAAAATACTGTATGCAAATATGCAGATAAATTAGTTTCGGGTTATCATCAATGTCTGCTTGTTTGACAAATCAGAACAAAAATGTTCACAAAAATATTCCTTGTGGTTGAATACGTAAACTGTGCTGATGTTTGATATACAGGGCTCAAATTTAGAAAAGAAAATGCTGTCAAATACGTAGGTTTATTTCATTTCCTCACAGCCACAACTTGAGGATTTTAGGATGTGACTTCTACCAAAATGTATCAAATCTGTTGATGAAGGTAGTAAATTGATGATAGAAATTATTTGAGCCCTGTGATTGTAATCCACCTTTCTTTCCCGACACGGTGAAAGTTTGGCACTTTCTTGCAGTTGCATTGCTGTTCCAAAAATGGAAAAAAAAATGAAAAGTCGAATGGAAAGTTGGTGGTTGAAACCTGACTGTAATAACCATGTTCTTGAAGAGAGCAAAGTTTTACAAAGTTGCTTTCTCCCGTTTCAGCAAGGACATACCTCCCAGAGTAGCATGGCAAGTCCACTTTTCTTCCTGGCTGCTCGTTTGATTGATGTTCAGAATTCCTGACAATTTCAAACTGACAATTTACTGATTTTACGGACGGGAGGCCATGCTCACTGAGAGCCAGAGGGGCCAGGCTAATGTCGTTTGGGCGGTTCTTTGAATCAGAAAATTTTCTGACGAGAAATAGGCGTATTTCATCGGACACAGTGAAGGAACTGGGAATTTCTTTGATTTTGTGGCATTTTGGCAAAAGCTGTCATCATCTTTGATTTCAAAAGAAATGCAGCACCACAACTTACATTGGGCTGGCCCTGGTAAGGATGTGGTCTGGCTGGTCTTACACTGATGTGCTCTTTATACAGGTGTTTGTTGGTAAGATTCCGAGGGACATGTATGAAGATGAGCTCATACCCCTGTTTGAGAAATGTGGCACCATCTTTGACCTCAGGTAGGTTTCCCCCTCCTGTCTCGTATTTAAGCCTCCCTGCTTGGTTTTATTGTTGGCACAGGTGTTTGTCAGTAAGATACCGAGAGACATGTTTGAAGATGAGCTCATTCCTCTGTTTGAGAAGCCCGGACCCATCTTTAATCTCAGGTAGGTCCCAAGAACTTGTGAGTTGTCTTATCATATCTTGTCTGTCCTCCTTGAGGCACCTCCTGTAAGCTAAGAATGTGTGGCTGCCGGTGTTCTATCTTCTAACCTATTTTAAAGATATTTACTGTAAGTTTTGTATGTAAAACTAACTTTCTTTCATTTACTGAAACTACATTTGTTCAAAATTGCTGTGTAAGTCTTCTAGCTGCACTCTGAAGTTTCTCTTGTAAGAGCTTTATATACTGTAAACTGAAGAGTGGTTTTCTTTTCCCTTTTTTTGCAGTGCCTATTTTGTCTTTTCTTACCAAAAACATTTTCCCCTATTGAAGGAAGAAAAATGAATTATACTTCTCTGTGCAGCTGAATTTAAGACCCTAAACTAAGCCCAGTGAGCACAAAGACAAAATTCCCCCTCCCCACATTGTAGGCTGATGATGGACCCACTCAGCGGGCAGAACAGAGGCTACGCTTTCGTCACGTATACCACTAAGGAGTCTGCACAGGATGCTGTCAAACAGGTAAGGTTCCCATCAAAATTGTTAAAGACTTTTAAGAAAATCGCAAGGCAACTCATATTGCTTGGTAAGCATACCCCTCCTCCCACAAACACATTTTTCAATGGTTGAGGCTATTTGTCAAATGTATATTACATCTTAACATAGCTACACCCGCAGACAACAAAGACACTGTTTTGCTTGACACTTTCTTCAGCTCGACAACTACGAGATCAGAAAGGGGCGCTGGCTGGGCGTGTGTATCTCAGTGGCCAACAACCGGCTGTTCGTGGGCTCTATCCCCAAGAACAAGAGCAAGCAGGAGATCTTCGACGAGTTTGGCAAAGTCACAAGTGAGTAGTTAGTTTCTCTTGATATAGTCGTTCTAACAAGTCTTCAATTACTGTAAATCTTGAAATGAATGTGCTCCCAATATTTCACTATATCAAAGTTTAAAACACTGCAAAAACCTCAATAATGAATGAGTTTTCAGCACATTTTAACCTTGCTTGTGTCTTTAGTCAATATTGACTGGTAAAATTGATATCGGCCCTACAGCTTTGGCTATAGGAGAATGTCAGTCTTTGTAGCACTCTTGCTAGTATGAGAAAGCAGATAAAAGTTGGTCATTATTTTCAAAGTATGTTCAAACATGTTCTTACTTTTCTACAGACGGTCTGAAGGATGTGATCATCTACTACATGCCTGAGGACAAGAGAAAGAACCGAGGCTTCGCCTTCCTGGAGTACCTGTCACACAAGGAGGCGTCGCTGGCCAGGCGGAGGCTCATGAGCGGCCGCATCAAGGTCTGGGGCAACATCACGGTCACCGTGGACTGGGCCGACCCCATCGAAGAGCCCGACGACGAGGTCATGGCGAAGGTCAGTGGACGGAAAAAGGGTCAACCACTGAACCAGGGGGTGGTCTTTGTGTGGATGGGGAAGAACACAGCACTGTTTTACCTTTTGCATGCAAACTGTGCCAGGGCTCGAAAATCCTGGGTGCATGTGCACCTTGGTGCAACCAAAAGTGAAGCTGTGCACCCAATTTTTTCTGTGCACTGGTGCACCCAACTAGTTTCTTAGGGTTACGTACGTAATGATACTTTTTAGGTTGGGTGCACCTGTTCCCAAAAATGAATTTTGAGCCCTGTGTGTCCTGTAGTTTGAAATTACATATTCGGTTGGTAAAGTAGGCAGTAAGAAAATGGGAGGATGGTTGGGATGGCCCTTAGATTTGAAAATGTTATGTTTTCTTAAATATACTAGTCAGTAAGAAGATGGGAGGATGGTTGGGGATGAAGCGCTGTGTTCTTCCTCATGTCCCTTTGACTTTTTTAGGAATGTGGGCCATTCTAGATTTGCCGTCAACTCCAGAATTCAGCAAGGAGACAGAGTGGACTGATTTGTGTAGCTGAACTTGAAGCTTGTTAAATCTGTTCACTCAACATCCTTGTTGAAATGATGGAAGTTAATGGTAGATCATGATGGCTGACATTGCAGTGAAGTTAAAGGGATTCTCACAAGGTCATTCACTGGAAACTCTCTCGAAATGCTGTTTGACTTGTGTCTAACAACGGACTTCCAGGGCTTTGTTGTACACTACAGAGAAAGGGATGGTTGTGTGCATGCATGTGTGTTGGTGTGTGTTTCCTTGTAACTGTCATTTCACTTAAAATGTTTCAATGGTTTTCAGCAATGGAAACAAGTAACCTCCTATCCAGGAATTCAGGTACCCTGGATCGGGGCTGGCCGCGGCCTTTCCCTGTCCGCTGGCCCTCCTCTTGGTTGACCCCCCCTACTGTGCCACCCCCATGGGCGCCTCCGTGACCCTCCGCGCGCGCTGCCTCCCCCCTCAAAGCAAAGGGCATAGTTCAGAGGGCATAGTTCAGAGGTCATAGGTAGGGTAGCGTTGTGAAGAAGTCACCCTTCTCTGGGCAGCTGCTAACAATTGTTCTGCCTCCTGCCCAACAGGTTAAGGTGCTGTACGTGAGGAATCTCGCAGTGGAAGCTGCGGAGGAGATCATCCAGGCAAAGTTCGAGCCGTACGGGACGGTCGAGAGAGTTAAAAAGATCAAGGACTACGCCTTCGTCCACTTCGAGAACAGAGAAGATGCCATCAAGGTTGGTTTTGCTCTACAGCTACATATTGGTGTGTTGTACAATCTTTGGGCACAGTATTTTTACTTTGGAAAGTAGTGACTTGTATGTCAATGTTGTTTTACTGAGACAAGTGTCTGTCTTGATAGGCCATGGAAGATCTGAACGGCAAGGAGCTGGAAGGGTCAGCCATGGAAATCTCCCTCGCCAAGCCACCATCGGAGAAGAAGAAGGAGAGAAAGAGGCAGAGAGAGCAGGAAAAGATGATGGGCGGGTAAGCTACTAATTACGTTTCCTCCTATGTTGTTGTTATCCATACATCAATAAGCTTCTAAAAATACTATTTCTGAAGTATGGTTGAGGTAATAAAAAAGTAATTTCTGTAGACAGAAGGTCAAGTATTCCTGATATCTGTATCATTGCCAGTCAAAGCAGAGCATGAGAAGTCTTTGTATTATATGCCATTAGGCCACACCGATTTAATTTTATGGATGACATCCTCTGAAGACCCCCAAACTAGTGCGCGCGGGCGAAAAAAATAAAAATCCGGCCAAAAATAAAAATGCTACAAAACCACAGGAATACAAACCTGGTATTGTGAATTTGGCGCATTACATAGCGACGTATACGACAGGCCGACACATGCTGGATTTTTGCGGAATATATGAATCGACACTGCTGTACGTATGTACTGAGTTCTTGAGTCTTGGAGCTTCGGTAGCCTGGCTGCCGTAAACCAGAGTTATCACCACCATGCACTACCCAAGCCTAAAGCCAGGCCAGAGCCTCGGAATACGTGATCTTTTTTTTTTTTTGAGATCGGGCGAAAATCAATGCGCGCATGGATGTCATCCATAAAATTAAATCGGTGTGGTCCTTATTTGATTATTATGTGATGTTCAAACTGTAGTATACTGAACAGGATCATTACAGATAGCAAGGTGAAATTAGCACACCCAGCATTTGATATACGCTTGTGTTTTTCAGCTACGACTACGATGGATACAGCGTCGGTCGTGGCGGCCCATGCGTGGTCGAGGCCGTGGTGGGTTTGACCGCCGCGGCGGAGACTACAGGGGCGACTATGGCTACGGTGGCGGCTATGAGGAGTACGGCTATGGGGGTTACGGCGAGGA